ATATATATATATATATATATATATATATATATATATATATATATAGCAATAAACGATAGTGCTTCTTATGGTCACAACATTATCACGGGTACATGTGCTTTGACTAAGGATGTGCGTCGGAGCGATTCGTGGTCGGGTGCAGCTGTCCACAGCTTTTGAGATTCCCCGCACACTTCTCAGCTTGTTCCTCGAATGAACCGTCGAGTCGATTGGCGACCGCGCAACACGTCTTTCCGGTGATCCCGGTCACTCTTCCGAACGCGCTCCTCCATCGCGATTGCCGATGTTTCGACGGGACCGCCAAGACAATGCGCTTGAATGGTATTGATCTACGCCAGCTACATTGTCAAGACGGGAGCTGTGACATGAAGTAGGTGGGTATCTTGGATCTGCCGCCATGCGCTAAGAAGAACAATGCCAACAAGGCGCGTTTCCTGTCAATCTTGGCCGAGCGTACGCCGAAACCAGTCTGTCGGGTCACTCGCCGTGCCCTGAACGTCGTCGGTCATATTTCCAGTGTGCATGCTTGCAACGATCGGTGAATGAAAGCACTCTAGCTTCGTGCATCTGCATACCTTGCACCCCCGGTCTCTGAGTTAGATTCAGTAGACGATGACCGGCTTTGTGTCGCCATGCATATCTCTTGGAAATTTGGACCGGTGATGCTCGGTGGCTCTCTAGCGATCTCGACCATGCGCGTCACCACTGGCTCACATTACGGACGCTCGACATGAGACATGACAGCAGCCACCAGTCTACCCACTGGCCGGATACAAAAGGTCGTTGGGGTGACATGGACCCTCAATTTTCGCTCAACTCCCACTCACTTTCCTTTCCTCCCTCACCAGGGCCAAGCCGGCAACAATGCAGCAATGCACTCAGACACACGATCAACTTCCGCAAACTTACCTGATCTATGCAAGTTTTGTATTGCTCACCTACAGCATGACCGCGTGGCGCCTCTTTCATGTGACATCTCGGCCTGTGTTTTTTCGAGAGATCATATGAAGCCAATCCCGACTTTGTCTTTATCTCACATCCACCTTCGTGTTGAATCATCGACTGGAGGCTTTCTGCATCGTATCACTTGTCGATGCCTGTTTCTTGCTTCGGTCACATTAAGCCCCAGTCTCCCCTCCCCATGGCGGTCTTGAGCCAAAGAAAATGTTGCCACTGTGATTCACATTGACACTTGCAGGCACGCTTCGTGTGCCGCTGTCCTCCCACCAGAAAGCCTACCAGCAGGAAGGTAACCGTCTAAGTGTATATCGTCTTGTCAGATTCGTAGAAACGCTTGCTTCCACTCACCTCTCTCACTTTCGTTCGTGTCGCATCTTTCCTCACACCCTCCTTCCCCGTCTTTGACCACGTGCAAATGTCGTTCATCGGCATCATGCCTTCGCACGTCCATGCGCAGTCGAGTACGTTTGACACACGCATCATCTATGGATCAGTCTACCAGCGGCCCGCGCCACCGTGTCCCGACAACACGCCTCCGTACACGCCTCGCTCCAAGTCGCTTGATTTGCTCCGCGCCGATTGCGCCACACCGATCACAAATCGTACGTCTCTGGACACCATCTCCACTCTCAGGGGCCAACGAATCTCGAGTCCCGTCTTCTTGAACCGCACTGTTGGGGTCCACCCGATCCCTGAAGAGCGTTGTCGTCCCGACACTGCCGCAGTCACTAGAGTTGAGGCCGATCATGGCTTGGATGGCTCTTGCCTCACCGTTTCCACTGAAAGCGCCGCAATTATTCATGCAAAGGCGAGGGTATCCACCATGCCACGCTACATAAGCCAAGCAGCGGACCTCGATATTCCTCTGCATCCCACAACGCCGTGCCGTCGCCAGAAATCGGATCACTTGCTCAAGAGTAAGTTCAGCATGTCTCCCGTTCAACCATCCAAGCGGTCAAAGTCTCGGAACTCAGAGCTTCGAAAGGCTGTCGACATGACCGTCGGACCTGTACCCGAAGTCGTCGTGATTCAAGAAAACACCCTATCCGCGTTGGGCAACTGGTCTCATTCGATCGGGATCGCTGCCAAGAAGCTGCATAAAAGCGCTCTGCCGCGAAAGAGCTCAGAGGAAAGCTGTCAGACGACGTCGAAGGCTTCGAATGAGATCGTGAAAGAGTCGATCACTCCGCAGAAGGGGAATGGAGGTTTGAGAAACGCTACGAGTCTCGCTTCCATCCGTATATTTATGTGAGTTGCACTGCCCTCCCCCTTCATGCCGTAGACGATGCTTTTGCTTCAGACCGACGTCGAGCTGACACTTCTCATCATTTCAGCACGCCGTCAAGACGGACTCGAAAGGTTTCCAGCACGCGCGGTCTGACGGGAACTCGACGGGGCATGCTTACGGTTGATGGTGTCGCCATAGAGCATTGTCTGGCTCCGCTTAGATCGGCGGAGGATGACGCATGGATTGATGCTGATGGACGCAAGAGCCGGGATGGTCTAAGCGATTCAGAGGCACCGAGTCAGGACTTCGCGGCAGCAGTCGTATGTGATCGTCGCCTCATGGCCCCCGTGCCCCGATCTCGTTCCTCGTTCAGATCGCGAGAGTCACAAGACAGCAAGAGCCTTGCTTTCCCAGGACCTACACGTGCTCTACTCTCGCCTGAGTTTTTCGAGCCACCCACGAAAGTACTGCCGCCTACGAAGGAAATCGAGTGGGTCGATAGCGCTCAACCGAGCGATGCCACACATCCTGACAGACCAGCCATAGAATTTGACGCTAGTCAGGTATCGAATGCTGTGGCCAAAGAGCAAGAAATCGATGCAGGTCCCGTAACCTCCAAGCTCAAGACGCTTCAGCTACTGGCACGACGACCTTTCAGCGCCTTCGGTAAGAGGATAAGGGAAATGGAGAAGCCATGGTGGCCGTCGCGCACTTCACAGGATGTGGTGAATCGTGACCTTACTGACACCGGCGGAGGAAAAATCGCTGAGCGAAGCCAGACAGCGAGATGCAGCGAAGATCTTCTATCTCTGGCTTCTCCTCGCGTGCTCGATTCGACAGCGATGGCGCAGAAGAGTCGTAGCGTTGAGCTCGATCGTGTCCAGCTGCCCTCGACAAAGATCCCAATCCGACCGCCAGGAAAGGCTGTCTTCAAGCGACGACCGACAATCCCTGATGCTTTCGCAAAGCCTTCCGAACAACGTTGCTCCAAGCTCACACAGTCAGACAGACAGCCGTCAAATGATGCAAAATCACGCATATCTGATCTCCGCCACCCATGGATGAAGCAGCTTCAGCTCCCCGTTGTCGCGCGGTCAGGTCTCGGTGGCGACGCCGGAGCCACAGACATCACCACCATGCCAACGTGGCCGACAATGGGTGGCGATGGACTTCCGCCGCAGCGCAACATCATTGCAGCAATGTCCTTGACAGCTGCAAGTGTCGCTTTGAGTCAAGCCTTTCCAGCTGCGTCCAGCAGGCTATCTCCTCGTCGGCCACCAGCGTCTTTATTAGGACAGTCTCTTCCTATCCCTCCTCGCAACGGTCGTAGTCGAGCCAGCACGATCAGCTCTCAAAGCTCGGCAACATCCTCTCCCTCGGGTAAAGTGATCGTCTCGCGTCGCTCGTACGGACAGCGTCTGCGTTCCACCAGCATCAGAGACGAGACTGGCAGTATCACATCGGTGGGCACTTCGATCCTCTTCACAGACTCGCCCCCGAACTCTCCAGGCCTACGGAAGCTCATGTCTCCCCATCCCGTAACGAGGACACCCACCTCTAAGAGGATACGCAGTCCGCCGACGACAGTGCTCCTGCCCAAATATTCCCCACACAGATCCGCAAGGGTGCACAGGCTACAGAAGCAGCCTTCTGTCGCTTTTACCGAAGACTCCGACTTAGCCGAAGAGCAAGAGTGGATGGATGAGGGACCACTTAGCAGCCGTACGGCGCACGATGCACCTGTCTCCTTGCGACCCTTCCCACCTCAACGGCCTGGGTTCCTGGAGATGAGCGAAGCCACTCAGACGCTTTCAAATCTTGTCAAGACGTTCTCTGGCTCTTCGGGATCGCTCAGCCTGCATTCCTCGCCTTACAAGAAGCACGAGACTCCAGAACACCACAGTAACACCGGCACACCACGCGACCTGTACGGTATCATGGAGGCGGAGGAGTCGGACCGCACATCACCTTTGCATCGTCTGCCATCTTCGACGCGGCAACGCTTGATCAGCATCGCGAGCATGGTCTCCACCGAAGCGAATTCCAGTTTCGAGGATTCGGAAGAGCTTCAAAAGCTTCTGGACAGCATCATGGCTGCCGATTTGGGCGGTGGCAGCTACGACATTTCCGGCTCGAGAGACATGGCTCTGCTCTCGCCTTTTGGCTCGCCGGCCGAGTACAGAAACGCGCAGCATGTCAACACGAGTGCCTCGTCGGGCGGCAAAGATAAAGAGTCGCCGAAGCCGACACCGACTATGCCACCACCGCCGAAGTTCCTGCTCAACGATAGACCCATTTCCCCGCCCGATAGTAGTTGCACGAGCGATGCTACCCATAGCACTTGTGCACCCGCGTCGCTGGTACACGTTCGTACGTGCAGCTGGTCGAGCAAAGCTGTCGCTGGTACGACCTCGTCTGTACCTGATGACTCGGGCTATGTTTCCATTTCTGGTCTCGATAATGTCGGTACTGATTCGCAATGTTGATCTGATACTTTGAAAGCACACCGCTGCATTGTCAGTCTCGCACGTGCCTGTGTGCTTCTCTGTGTGAAACGACCGCCTTGAGATGAAGGAGTGACAGAGATGAGACAAGGACACGTACGGCGTTGGCGCTCTGTCTAGATGTGTGTCGAACAAGCCTCGAGGCAAACGTTGCTGCACCAGGACGAGTACAGATAATCATGGCAGACTCAAAAAAAATTGAGATGACAAAGCTGAAAATCTGAGCTCGACTCTGAACATCAGAACTGTCGATATTCTTCATAGGATCAAAATATGGCCGCGAGGTTTGATCGAAGCTGTAGTAGAGCCTTCCAAATTTTGTCAAACACTTCGAATCTTATTGTGACCCGAATTGTTCGTAATGATCGACCCGTCTTTTGGATCTGAATAACAATTTCAGCAAATCGAACAAACGTCAAAGTACGAGCTGAATGCAATCGCCTTGTGGTCAGGCTTCACAACTGAGCGTCTTCTTTGAACATGACACATTCAACTTGCTTTGTTGTTTTTAGAGACAGCGACTTATTGTATCGTTCGTGTATTTGGCCGTTTTGTCATGCAATATACTACTGAGATGAGCACAAAACATTTCTTTGCGTTCAGCAGACCATCTCAGATTTTTTACAAAGTTCAATCTTGCGAAATTTGTTTCGTCGCGAAAGATCGACCAGCCGACTATTTCATGTGATTGAATTTTCAGGCATCGAGAAAGATCGCTCATTTCCGAGAGGTTATACAAAATGAGCACTCCAGCAAGTCAGAGTCTATTGAGTGTCGAAGCTTTGATCTTTACAAAGAATGACATCAGATTGGCAAAATTTCTCAAATGAAGGTGGTTTTAGCAACGCGAAATATTATTCTAGCTTTTTGTAAATTGCCAATATGTTCATCATGCAGGCATCACATGCTCTTTAGTTGCGAATTTGCTTTGACGATGCTATTGTGTCTCTTCGGACAAAATCAACAGTTCCGTAACGCTTAGCTGGTCTGTGTAAGGAGTTACGGCGAGTGTGTACCCTCGTCGAGCTATTTGTCCTGAATTATTCGTCACGAACATCGTCCGAAAGTAACGTAATTCACAATGTCAAGGTCACGAAAACTTACGGGGACCGGTCAAAACAAAGTTTTCGGACTTTTTCCTTGATTGTAAATATTTTTCTGATTTCTTTTTCGGCGAGCTTCTCGTATTTGGTGAAAATTTCAACACACCTGCGCAGGTACAGCGTTTCGCTGGTCGACACGCGATGCAGGGGCCTCAATGGAATCTAATCATTGGATCCTGGAAGACGAAACGCTGGACAGACTCGAGGGGCGGGGAATGGACGTTGACTTCTTTGCCTCACCACACCATCGTTGACCGCTCGGCGATGCGGTCATGTCCGTCAGACCACTGCCATTGTTACGAAATGGTCTGTCTGCGACTCGCTTCGTGAACAGCTACCAGCTGCCTGGACGACCAGGTCACTTCCAGGGTCTTCTCTCGACTCAAGCTTCTCAAGACAGGGTCGTATGGCCCGCTTTGAAGACATGGTCGTCCATTGGACCTGATGGCCAGGAGACGCTCGAGGGTCTCAAGGGACCTGCTACGTCGGATCTGATCGTACCAGTCGAGATCTCGCAGCCCCATGTGGGCTACAACGCCGGTGGTAGCAAGTGGGACCGCATCGAGATGCCGTTCTCGCTCTTTCTCGATGCCTTCATCCAACGCAAGATCCCCTGGTCGCAAGGAAGCGAGGAACAGCAGCCAGTGGGATATCTAGCACAGTTCGATCTGCTGTCGAAGGTCCCTGCTCTCGCCGAAGAAGCTCCGGGTTTGCCACACACACAAGCAGGACCCAAAGGAGCGAATGAGCAATGGCGTAGCAACGTCTGGATCGGACCAGCAGGCACCTACACTCCCATTCACCGAGATCCGTACGAGAACATGTTTGCACAGGTGGTGGGTCAGAAGCGGGTGCACCTCTTCAGCCCTTCCTTGGCTCCGTACCTCTACATCAACAAAAGCGGGCCACAGAAGAACACTTCGGCCATCCGATCGGAGCGAGAGCTTCTGTCTGCATCGCAGGATCGCCCATTGCTATCCGCTGCCCTGTCATCAGAGGATGCGTTTGTCGCCGAGCTCGGCCCCGGCGATGTACTTTACATCCCGCAGGGCTGGTATCACTGCGTGCAGAGTCTGAGCACGAGCGCGAGCGTCAACTTTTGGTATCTGTGAAGGCAGTACAGATGGGGATACGGTAGCAAAGAACAGGAACACCAAGCACTAATGCGGGCTCTGTTGACTCTAGTCTCTCAATCACACTAGGATTGTACCGCTCTGACCGTCATATCGAGGCAGGAGAGATTCTTGCGAGCGGTTCCGTCACAGTCAGAAGGGTCAACGCAACTTTCCGCGTGGGAGGCAGCGCGGCAGACTTGCATTGCCGCGAACGTCGGGCCGGATCGCGAATCAAGAGCGCGCAACGTCCACAGCCGACACAGACAGTCGCGTTACGGTAAAGTCACTTGATTATGGAACGACCCTAATAATACAATGCAGGAGAAAATGAAAAGATGTACAGGTGACAGAAGAATGTTGCTCATCATGTTCGTGAGAAGCGGTATAGGAGCATGGATATTCATGCGAGAACGTCAAGCACAATGAAACGAGATGCGGGGCGTCGGTCCAGTCGAAGCTTCACATTGCCCAGTCCCAAACTTTCTGAATGGTAGAGCGCTCGAGCTGGGACTCCTTGATTCTCTCGGCCTCCTCGTTGTCGTCGATCTCCCTGCGTCCAGTGTCGAAGTCCATCTGGGAGAGGCTAACGAACTTGGTCTTGTGGTAGAACTTCCAGCCAAGCCACATGACAACGAAGAGAGGGATGCAGATGTAGGTGGTGACGAATGAGCTCGTGCTCCACTGGCCGTTGAGGAAGACGGTGAAGCCGGCGAAGAGGAGGACAATGGAGAGGAAGAAGATGCCAAAGTAGGTGAGGTACGGCTGGAAGGGAGCTGTGTAAGGTAAGGTTTTTCGCGCAATGCCATGGTACTTGAGTCCGTGGTAGAATCGGGCATAGGTGCAGAGGATGACGATCCAGGCGATGATGATGCTGATGGCCGACACATCGTAGAGGTACTCGAATGCCTGCTCGGCTCCTCCAGATCCACAGGACAGGTAGGCGAGCGGGATGAAGAGCGACGTGACTGCGAGCGACCAGATGGGAAGACCGGCCTTGGTGCATTTGCGAAGGAAAGCGGGCGCCTTGTTCTCGAGAGCGAGCGCATAGATGGTTCGGGAAGATGCGTACAGATCCGAGTTGGCCGCCGACCAAGTGACGGTCAAAAGTACGGCGTTGATGATATGCGGGAGCACGCGGATGCCGGCGTTGCTGATGGCGAGGACGAAAGGGGAGGCACTGGCATCGCTTCCGCCGTTGAGGAGCCTCGGGTCGTTGTATGGAACGACGAGGCCGACCATGAAGATGGCGAGGACGTAGAATAGGAGGATACGCCAGAAGACGCGCTTGATGGCCTTGGGTACGTTTTTGCGAGGGTTCTCGGTTTCTCCGACGGCTACACCGATGATCTCGGTACCTGCGAAGGAGAAAGCTGCGCTGACAAAGACGTTGAAGAAAGCGAGAAAGCGGCCGGTGGCGCCGCTGATGCCGCCGGTGGGCTTGCCGGTGACGGGATCAGGGCTCCAGAAGAGCTGGGCCATGGGACCGGGGTCTTTCCAGTAGCGGAAGCCGATGCGATCGCCTTTAGGGCCACCACCGAGGTCGATGACGAGGGAGGTGATGATGAGGACGATGATCGCGACGACCTTGATAAGGCAGAACCAGAACTCGGTTTCACCGTAGTACTTGACACCAAGGGCGTTGACACCAATGACAAGAACCATGAGGATCGAAATCCAAACGGCGGGGTTGATGGAGTGATCGACATCCCAGTACTGAATGACGATGGCCGACGCAGAAATCTCGGTAGGAATGGTAATGCCGTACGAGTACCAGTAGGTCCAGCCGAGGGCAAAGCCGATACTGGGGTCCAGGAAACGAGTTGCGTGGTGGGTGAAACCTCCAGGAACGGCGAGGAGAGTGCTGACTTCACCGAGGGCGATCATCATGGAATAGACAACGACACCCATGATGATGTAGGCGACGAGCGTGCTTACGGGGCCAGCGTTGGACAGAGCTCCACCGACACCGACGAACAGGCCCGTTCCGATAGTACCGCCCAGAGCAATCATGGAGAGGTGGCGCTGCTTGAGGTTTCGCTGGACGTGACCGTCGGATGAGTCTTCGTTCATTCCGAGACGTTCGAGGGCAACCTGATCAGTGGAAGCCTTTTCAAGATTGTCCGAAGCCGGGTAGGAGGTCTTTTCGACATCGACATCGACATCGGGGGCAGGGGCGCCGGTGCGCTGTACGTCGAGAGAAGACATGGTGAAGGGTAGGAGCCTGGAGCCCACACAGCGACTTGGGCTGAACGGAGGGCGGAGGATGAGGCGGAGTGGGGTAGATGGGGAAGGATGAGGATGAGGAGGAGGGAGACCAAGGACGACGCGACGACGATAAGTGGGTATATGTACAAGTAAGTGATTGGATCAGAGGGGATGCACAGGCAACCAATAGTCGCACGACGAGGCCAGGGCAAAAAGTTTGTGCGGAGGAGAGCGTGCAAATTTTGACAGGAGCGCGCCCGAACTTTTCTTCATGCTTTATTTGGTTCAGCCAGGAATATCGACCTTGTCTGTCCGTGTGTTGCCTTCTATTGCACGGTGCATTGGCCGTGGGCGCACGAGTCACGATAACTGTATGCGCTTGTGGGAGGGTGTGAGCCTAAACGGCGGGGGGCCGAGGGCAAACACACAGCGGCAGTGGCAATGATGTGGGCAGAAGGGCGGAAACGCGGGTGTTCGCCCTCAGAATTCGACCAATCATGCATGTTTCGCTGGTGTGGCCCATCTTTAATTGGACTTTGATAAGGACGCAGGATCAACTGGAGTAGTCGACTCGCTGTTCCACGATCACAATCTGAGATGCAGGCTCGTCTGATGACCCAACAGGAACAGCCGAAACCGACCAACCGACAGCCGCGGGATTGGACGCTCGCTTACAGCTGACTCGAATCCATAAACTCGTTTCAATTTAGCTTCTCCCTCTTTTCGGATGCCCTCCGCCGGAATCACATCGGTCCGCTGCGCCCCAAGAGATGCTATCATGGCCGTACTAGTCACTTGACCCATCAATCTACCTTATCTCGTGCAGCTGGGTGACTTTTGAGATTCTCACATGTCTGCTCTGTGTGCTGCGACCATTGGCATTCACCATTACCGTGTACCGTGCACACGGATGCGTCGCATCAGAGATGCCGTAGGCTTGGGCCTGTCCAATAAGGAAAACCGAAAGGAAATTTTTTTTAGTTTGTTTGGCCCAGGGAATTCACCGAACACGTCAATTCAACCGGCTCACCCGAAAAGATTGGCACCCAAAATTCTCCGGTTTATTCGTGTTTCGAGTCGAGTCGGGCCGTCTTTCAAGATTTCTGCATGATCGACGTTGCGCTGCTCAGTTTCGAATTTGCTCCCGTGACCGCATCGTTTTCTGCTTTTGCCGAGTGGACCGCCGCCCAAAGCCACCATCCTCTGTCCACGGCCACGGATTCGGCGAGATGCACCAAGCTTGTAAGTTCAGGTACGTTCGGAAATCTCGGTGGACCATGCGACCAGAATGCAGCTCCACAACATTGTCTTCTGCCACACGAGGCGTCAGGGTTACGTAATTCAGAAGTTTGCTCCACTCAATTGGACCCTGCAGCATTGGTGCCAGAATCAACACGACCGTGACCACCACCATCTCTTCCTCTGAGCCTGCAGAAGCCAAGCTCAGCTTCCGCATCGCTTCGGTATGGCTTACAGCTCTGGAAACAAGGATCGTCAGCCGCCCACCAGACCGCGTGCCTTTGACGATTCGGACGACGACGACGATGCTCACAACGCTTCGTCGTCCAGTCGGCGTCAAGAAGAGATCGTCTCGTTCGGCCGTGACGGTGCCAAGGGACGCCGACCTTCCCCAACGCCAACAGCTCCACGTGTGATTCCTGTCGTATCCAACCTCGACTGGCGACAGGATCGCAGAGAGCGCCTGGGCCGAGCCTCGAATCTCCAAGCGTTAGGTCCCTTGGTGTCGATGCGGCGTGCGGATTCTTCCGCCGTGCCTGTATCCGCATCGGCAACACCCGACAGGAGCGACACGAACACAGATTCCATCAACACAGAAGCACAGAAGAGAGGACTTGAGCTGCGACAGCCAAGATCATCGCGATCGGACGCTTCCTCGCAGAACGAGGTATCAAAACACGCGGACCGTGTCGAGGTATTTGATGCTTCGGCTGCTCCGCTTCCCAACAACACAAATGCTGCAGACACAGACGAAGAAGCGCTCAAAGCTCTCTTGGCGGGCCAAGGCGTCGGAACCTCCGGATCGGGCGAGCCTCTGATCATTCAGCAGGAGTCTGAATCCGACCTTCTGCAACACGACATTGACTCGCGACCGGAAGCGCCGACGCTCGATGACTATGCAGCTACACCCATCGATCAATTCGGCATGGCTCTCCTGCGAGGTATGGGGTGGAAAGAGGGTATGGGCGCTGGAAAAGGTGGCAAGGGTCCTCAGCAGGCTGCGGAACCGAAGAAGCGTGCAGCTTTGCTTGGTCTCGGTGCAAAGGAAAGACCTGGTGCTGCCTCGAGCTTGCCCGCATCTTCCTCGTCGTCACGCAGCTATCGTCCCAAGGACAGACGAGACTACAAGTACATTCCTGTGTCCAAGGCTGAAAGTCCTAAGCCTTCCAATGGTCGATCCGCAGACGTCGACCGTCGGCGACACGAGGATCGACATTCTGAATCGCGCTCCCGTGCTGTGACCTCTTCGCGCGACTCTCGCAGAGAGAAAGACGATCGGCACTCTGATCACTCACGCTCTTCACATCGACACCGCTCCAAAAGCCCTCCGAGCAGCCGCGACCACCATCGAGATCGCCATCGTGACCGTCCTCGGGACGACAGGCACACAGAGAGGCGCTCGCACACATCGTCCAGATCCGATCGCGATCGCAGGTCCAACCGTGACCGAGATGAAAAGCGAAACCGGGACTATCCGCGCTGATACACCATTGCATCATGTCACACGCTACCGAGATTAGTACCGATTATATACCCTCATCATCTTGCCTATTGCACGACGAAAAGACTGTATCTCAGACTCATTTGACTGAGCCGGTGGCACGCGAGACGCGCGACACGCCCGAACCGCCTGCTCCCAGCTGTGAAAATACGCCGGTGTCGTGTCCGATTAGATTGCCGAGTTCTTCCTCCCCCACACACGTCAAGTGCACTTTGAGTCTGACCCCTAGCTCTTATCTCTTGCAATCCATCATCTCTATACCTCTTCGACGCAATGATACAGGACACTCTGGCCCTCGCATCCGTCGGCAACAGCCTCGAGTACTGGTCCCGATCGCCGCTGCACCCCACCTTGCTACCTGTGGGAGCGTTGGCGCTGGTGCACGCAGCAAGGGTCAGTCATGCCACTCGTCAGGTCGCCGGTAGTCACAGGTACCGCTTGACCCTATGGCAGGGATTCCTCTTGAATCAGATCCTCATGTTTGGAGGTGTCGTGATCAGCGGAATGCTTCTGGGTATTCCATCGCCGCTGTTGTCGGCTTGGCCTGTCGTGGTGTTGTACGGAGGTGTGCACGTTTTGCTCGATGCATCGCCGTTTGGCAATTTGCTCTTGCAGGCGCAGGATCTAGGTTCCGTTCGCACGCTCATGGACCTTTCGTTCGCACTCTTGGACGGCATCCTTCGAGCAGAAGGTATCATTGATCTGGGTGTCGAGCCTGTTCTGCGACACCCCTCACCAGAAGTCTCAAGCTCGATCTTCGCCGCTATCCTCAACGCAGCCATCATCGGAGGAGGTGTGCCTCTGCTCATCGATCTGCTCAATCTCGATTCTCCCACGGGTGAATGGGGAATTCGCACACCGGCATGGGTGAAACACCCGCTCCAAGGCACGAACGACATCTTCAGCGCGGGTGCTCTCGGATTCGTATACCTGTCTCTCACCAGCTCTTCGATCCCTGCTCAGTTTCCCATCGTCGCTGCCGTCGTCGACTCGTTGGGTTTGGACAAATTGAGCAACGGAGAGGTGCGAACGTTCTGCTCGCTCTTGCTGGGTGCCATGCTGCTCGCCGAGAAAGCGACGCTGCTATCGATGACGGCGAGTCCAGCTTCCAAGCCCAAGTCCCGAGCAACTGGTGGCGTGGCAGCCCCAGGCGAAAAATCGGCTGCTCGCAAGAACACCGCCAGCAACGGCAGCATCAAGAATCGCAAACAGGCTGCACGGAAACAGCAGTAGAAGCGACGCCTTTACACACACATGAACACCCCATTAGATCAAAGACTGCAAGACAATCTTTCGAATTTTGATGATGGCTAGCTACCAAATGCGTGAACGGACCATATTGTACCGACTGACCTCCATGAGTGAGTTCTCCTTCTTGACCTTTGGCTGCACACCTCCGTCATTCTCCCTGTCCCGCTCTTTTGACGTCGGCGCCATGTGTGTGCCATCGAGCTTGATGCGGATCGCATCGTCGTCCGGCTTATCGATGAAACGGCCGAGCGACTTGTCGTAACTCCTCTCGTCCTTGCTCGTCCCGATCGGCGCTCGGTCTCTGGCATTCAGAGTCTCCTCGTTCTCACGCTCGTGCATGGAGGCGTAGCGATGAGAAGCGAAGCTGACGAGATTTGTGCCCAAGAGAAGTTTGATCGCGACGAGAAAGGCCCAAGCGATGACAAGGGTCAGCGCCCATGCGGAGCCCCGCACGAATAGATCCAAGGCTCGAACCCAATCGTTGTTGATGTCGCTGGCACCTAGCTTGCGAGCAACTACGCCGATCCACCCTGTTTCAGAGATGCGCGGACTGACAGGCGCGATGCACTCGTCGATGTGGCTCGTATCGCCGATCATGCCAATGATTTGAAGAATGAGCCGCACCAGGAGACACGCTAGCGGAAGCGCTGCGAAGCCGAGACGACGGCTGATGATGGGACTCTGATCGACAAAGGTATGCTTGCGGCTGTTCGCTTTGGTCGAGGGCCCTCCCACGACAAGGTCGCGACAGAGCACGTCCATGAATCGACCGTACACGGCGGGTCGGATGTGATTGAATTTGGTGATGAAGGCGTGCTTTAGCCAATCGACAATGCACTCGCTGGCTAGCACGATGCATACAGGTGTGAGGACTGTTTCGAGTAGACTGAGACTCGGAAATACGGTGAAGCTCGCGGGGAGAGGGCTCGACGAAGGCTCGAGCGAGCCGCCCGACAACTCGATGAGGTTACGCAGACCAATTGCCGAGAGCATGAGGGTGAGCTGGAACCGCTCGACAATGTCGGCACATGTCATCTGAAAGACATTTTCCTTTTCGAACTTTTTGAAGACGCTAGACTTGATCTCGACGAACTGGTTGGAGAGCAGAAGAGTGAGCAGGGCATTGTCGTAGCTGTTGATGGCCACGTTGAGGGTGACGAGCTGATAGAAGAGGACAAGCGTATGGGCGAGCACGTAGCAGAGACCGAGGCAGAAGAAGCCGATAGGTCGAAGGTAGGGCTGCTTGCCATTTTTGCGACGTGCGAGTGTGCTGCGGGAGAAGAGAGAGTCGAGCAAGTCCTGTCCAAAGCTGCAGCAGAGACGGTCCGCGATCTCGAGCACGTTGAAGATGACGGAGAGCTTGACGACGTCCTGACCTCGTACAGAGTGATACATCTTACTCGCATCGGTGATGCGTGAGAGGATTACGCAGCTGAGTACAATGAGGAGCATCTTGAGAATGTCGCACTTCTGCGAGGAATGGAGATACCGCTTCTGTCCGCCTAGGAGCCATCTGATGCTGTTGCCGATCCACGTCCACATAGCGAGGCCGAAGCGGAGCGGCAGAATGGTAAAGGTGTAGAGAAAAGAGTCGAGACAGACGACGAATCCAAACAGGATGATCTTTTCCATCCAAAAGGGGATCGAGATGAAGTTGGTAACCCTTTCCCACTTGATCTCTTGTGTTGCATCAAAGTCGGTAGCGAGGACTTCCTCTTTGAGATAGTCCCACAAGCTGAAGGGAGTGTTGTCTTGTCGACTCGTAGCGGTAGCAGGATCTAGCTTGGACTCTTTGACCTTGTTCGAGGGCTCTTGAAGAGCGAAGGGGGTTTGCTCAGACCCGGATGGGTGATCAGCTAATGCATCTTCGTGAAGCGTAGCGATGCTCAGTCTCGGAGTCATGTAGGCTTCGAGGGGCTCGTATGCGTCGCCGTCTAGGATGAGCGGAGATGGTGCCAACTCTCGAGCAGAGCGATGATGCCTGAGTCCTTCCGATTTCGCAGCATCGACTTTGCGAGCAGTCGTAGGTGTTGAAACGTGCGCATGGAAGAGTGGCGAGGTGTGTGCCCGTGGCGAAGAGGGCGGACGGCTAGGTCTTTGCTCGACAGCGAATCCATTCATCAATTCTGACCCGAGAGTCCTGCCGTTGGGCGTTTTCGGATCTGAGAGCGCACTTCTCGGCGTACTGAACGATTCGTGATTCAGCGCTCGATGGTCTATGGAAGATTCCAAAGGCTCCCGCTTGATCTGAATCGAGTCTGCTTGCGGGATGACCGTAGCACCATCTCGGCGACGCTTCTCGCTTCCGGAATCGTAGTCGTAGCGCAAACCGTCAGCTCGACCTCCTGCGTCGGCGGTGTCGACAGCTTCTGCAAGATGAGGCTGATAATAGGATTCTTGTGCATCAGTGCGACGATCGCTATCGTAAAGAGATGCTGCAGGGCTGGGTGATGCGTGGTCTCTCTCTGTGGATGAGATCAGCTCTTCGGATGAGGGTGAGGATGCATGGGACGACAAGCCGGAAAGAAGCAGGGCGCGACGACTCTTGCGGTATTGCTGTGTTGCCTCTCGATATGCGCGTCGGTGCTGCTTGAGATCCTCGGCATCAGCATCGTCGGAGAAGTCGGAGGCGGAATCCTCGTATGCTGGACCCTCATATATGATGTTTCCGTCCTCGTCCATCCGAATGCTCTCCTCTTCGTCCTCCCACACGTCCTCATCATCATCTGCTGGTGCCGCGAGCGTGTTTCCGTTGTAACGTTTCGAATCCGGTGGCTCCACTGTTGACTCTCGAGAATGCGAAATGGGCGACTCCTCGTTGCTGTCGTCAGGCAGAACCGGACTGTCTGCATCGTGTGGAGTATCTGGGGTTCGACTGAACTCTGACGGTCTATGACCATTTGATTTGGAAGCGCCTGCAGAGATGGCTGGATGAGAGAAGAGTAGGCTGTCTTGGAACGATGACTTCCGCCGCAAAGTCTCGTGGCTGAGTCGATTGGAGCGGCTCGTTTCGGAAGCGTCCCCGTTGGTAGCGGTGGATGTATGGGTTGAGACATCTGTCGGATGTTCCGTGGAGCCTTGGGATGGGAGCGGCTCTACGCCGCTTTCGTCGTCGGTCTTCATCCGAAACGAGTCATGTGGGCATCGGTGTGATGGACGAGAAAAGCCAGGAAACTCGACGAGCAGCTCATCATGACTTGTTGGCCACGCTGGAGAGGACCCTTAGCGAGAGCGTGTGACTGTGACTTTGTGGAGGCGGCAATTCATTTCGAAGCGGCTTTTTTTTTTATGTGCGGAAGTCGGATCGGCCCTGAGCCAAAATTGCTTATCTCGGTTGAGAAGTTTCTTCTTGACCTGGGAACGCTTTCGACCTCCTTGGACAAGATAAGCTACAGCATCAACCTCCATCTCGTTTTCAGGGCATTGAGCCGTCGGGACTCTGGCATTCAACGATGGAGGCGGGGTCGGCTTCCCACGAGGAAGAGCAGCGTCTTGAAAAGCTCCATTTCGCCAACGTGCTCAAAGCCTTTGATGATTATCTTCCGTACTGCCTCTCAGCCAACGACGCACGCCGCAGATCCTTCTTTTCGCTTCCAAGAGCGCATCAACAGCTTCTCGCAGATGTAGGTCAACCACTGGCGTTACCGGAGCTGCCCAACGCAAGATCATCAACGTCACAGTCACGCGGATTCAAGTCGAGGTTGGAAGAAATCGATGATCGAATGCGTCGCAACGCCGACTTGCTGTCGCTAATCGCCGATGAGTCTAGAGGCTTTCTCGGTCCGGATCCCCTTGCCGATGAAGAAGAGGCAGCTACAGAGGATTCTCAAGCGGGACACGATTCCAATCGCGGGGCCAACAGCAGCAATAGCAGCAGCAACGGCAATCATTCTCTCGGCTCATCTTCAAAAACTGGCCGCAAGCGAAGAAAGATCTCGGGTCATGAAATCGACAAGATCCAAAGCACACTCAAGCAATTCGTTCGAGATTGGAGCCGCGAAGGCGAGCCGGAAAGATCTTCCGTCTACGGCCCACTGATGGACGCAGTCGCCAATCGCTACGGCAAGATCGGCCTCGAGAACCGCGGCCACGTTCGCGTACTAGTTCCAGGTGCAGGGCTGGGCCGGCTTGCTTTCGAGTACGCGGCAGAAGGCTACTCGTGTCAAGGAAACGAGTTCAGCTTCTACATGCTGCTGGCATCCCACTACATCCTCAACAAGTCGAGCCAGATTGACGAGCACGTCATCTATCCGTTCGTGCACTCCTCTAGCAACTGGAGGACCGCCGACGATATGCTTCGCCCCATTCGCATCCCCGACGTACTGCCATCGTCACTGCCACAGACGAGCGAGTTCAGCATGGTCGCAGGCGAGTTCTGCGAGGTCTACTCCAAGCCCGAGGAGGCACGAGCGTGGCACGTTGTGGCCACCTGCTTCTTCATCGACACGGCCAAGAATGTACTGCGCTATCTCGAGACGCTGAACCACGTGCTGCCCATAGGCGGACACTGGATGAACGCCGGTCCGCTGCTCTGGCACTTTGAAAACTCGGGCAACTCTCGAGGCGGGTCGGGCGAGAGCCTGAGCATCGAGCTTACGCTTGACGAGTTGATCCAGCTATTACCAAAAATGGGCTTCGAGCTCGAGGTGAGTACCAGATTCGCTCCTGACCGTCATGATCTATGCTGTTCCGAATTCGCTGACACTTGCCGGTGTTCCCGCCTTTGCATGCGCCATTGCTGATAGGAACGTCGCGAGCTTCAACCTACACCGTATACGGGCATGCTCAACGGCATGCTGCAGTATCACTATTCGCCAGAATTTTTTGTATGTCGCAAGGTACGAGATGTGCAAGCGGCACCGGCAGTCTGAGAATTGATTGGCGGACATTTTGGTTGATTTCTGTTTGTCATTCACGTCGTCGTCGTGATGGTACGGATGACGACACGTTTGAAGCGAAGATGTTGTTTGACTTAGACACGGGCCTTGGCATCGGTCTGAGCAGCCTTGAAGCGCTCCTCGGCCTCCTTGAAGTTGATGACCGACCAGATGTTCTTGAAGTAGTCTGCAGAATCGAAGGAACGGCAAGTGGGTGTGAGTGATTACCAGGTTGTGCAACTCATGAAAGCGGGATCTCTGAAACTTACCAGCCTTGACATTCTTGTACTGGAGGTAGAAGGCGTGCTCCCAGGCGTCGACGCCGATGATGGGGTGGTGCGAGATCAGGGGGTCCTGGTCCTTGGTGGTGACAACCTCAAGCTTGGAGTTCTTGGGGTTGAATCCGAGCCAGCCCCAACCGGAGCCCTGGATGGTGGCAATGGTAGCGTTGAAGGTGGACTTGAGGTTGTCGAGCGAACCAAAGTCGCGCTCGACGGCCTGCTTGAAGGGACCGTCCTGGAGCTGTCCTCCGCCCTGACTGGAGGGGGCGAGGTTCTTCCAGAAGAGCGAGTGGTTGATGTGACCACCGCCGTTGAACTTGATGGCGCTCTGGAGCTCGATCTGCTTGCGAACGTCGTTGCTCGAGATGGCCGAGTTGTAGGCCTTGATGGCGTTGTTGAGGTTGGTGACGTAGAGCTGGTGGTGCTTGGTGTGGTGGATGGTCATGATCTCCTCCGAGATGGCGGGCTCGAGCTCATTGTAGCCGTAAGGAAGCTGGGGGAGGGTGTGCTCAGACATGATGGGCAAAAGTTGGTGTGATGTGTGTGTGTGTTGTACGGGGAAAAAGTGTGGCGGGGGTGTTGGTGTGGAACGATGGCCCTGAGCGCTGTAAAGAGGACTGTATATATTCTCGGTTGGGCCGCGAACGAGCCACCACTCAGCCGAGTTTCAGAAGGAAGAGCGCGGTATAGTGTAGAAATAGCACACAGTGCAAAAAGGCGGTTGTGGAGTGGCAGCTGTGGATCTGCTCTGCGGCACGGCACAGCACAGCACGGTATCTCCGTCTTGCTTTTTGTGAAAGAGAGAAGTTGTGAGTGCGTGATTCGAGTGGAGAAGCACTGAATTCGGGTGCCACTCTCAGCGAAAAGCTGCGCAATCGGATGCTTCGGCTCTAAGAATTGTCGCAGCTTTTGCCAGACAGGCGAGCGAGAATTTCCGGCCACCTCGATGCTGCTCGATCGTAGCAAGCGGGCTCGGGAAGCGAGCATGTTACGCCATCTAACCTGCGGAGGGAAACAAATGTTCCAAGTTGGCCCGTGCTTTCTCTTCCATCCCAAATCTCGTTGTTTTGACAGGTTTGACCTGCACATATTGTTACGGTACAAGTGACTTCTCTCATTCTCACGGCTGTCCTTCTAGTTACAAGATGCTCTCTTTCGATGCCGACAAAGGTTAACCTGAAGCTCAAGTCTCGATACTATATATGTGTAATATGACAATGCTTGGACATACCAGCATTGATAGTGTAGGGGTATCATGAGTCGTTGCCAAACTCATCGTCTGAACAAGACGTGTCTTTACCGATTTCGACTCGACCGGGGTTCGAGTCCCCGTCAATGCATTTCTTTTTTCTTCTTTCCTTTTTTTTCTCGTCTCCCTCACAGGTTTGACGAGGGACGTGCGAGGCTGAACCTCCACGCCAGTAAAAGCCTGGCTTGGGTCGTCATTGTGCTTATCGAGGCGAATGGAAGCTTGTGCTGATACCAATTTTAGCTTTGTCTTGGCGTCCACTTGAGCGCCTCACGCTACGCTTGCCTCCTCCAGCAGGTCAGGGGTGCTCTTCGAAGAGAGTAGTCGGGTCTCACTGGTCCAGTATGTAAGAACCGAACAAAGCGGATACAAGTAACGCCAAACTAGGAATGTATGCTGTGACAAAGGCACAGCGCGATTTTGGCCGTTGGAAAGTCAAAGTCAGAGTGGGGCTGAGTCGATTTTGAGAATATTTCTTCAGATATCACTCACTCTCTGCTCGTCCCTCACCGCTTATCGTGATCAACCGCTCGTCCTCACTGTCCATCCAGCCAGGCTGCCTGCTACCGTGATCAAGGACTCGACCAGTCCACCTATCGAAGCCTGCCAACCGTGGCAGTGCTTGCTCCATCGTCGTCGTCGTCGTCGTCGTCGTCGTCAACATGAGGCACTCACTCCTCCTTCCTACCGCCCAGTATCTCGAGCATGGTCAGAGCGGAGCTCCCATCATCGGCCTCATCAAGGTCACGGCCTCATCCATCCTCGAAGTCGTCATCCTTTCTTCCGTAGGCTTTGTCCTCGCACGCAGAGGCATCATCGACAAGCGCACCCAGACCAAGATCAACAAGCTCAACGTTTCCTTTTTTACGCCCGCTCTGCTTTTCTCGAAGGTCGCTTTTACACTCAACCCGGCTCGACTCGCCGAGCTCTTCATCGTGCCGCTGGGCTTCGTCATTGTCACCGTCGTCTCGACGCTAAGTGCGCTCGTACTATCATGGTCTGCCAAGCTCTCCCCAGCACAGCGCAACTTTGCAATCGCTTGCGCCATCTCGCCCAATTCGAACTCGCTTCCTGTTGCGCTCATGCAGTCACTTGTGGTCACTGTGCCTCAGCTCCACTGGGATGAGCAGGGAGAGCCCGAGGACACTGTCGATGGCATGCTCGGTCGAGCGCTCACCTATCTCGTCCTCTTCAGCACCCTCGGCATGTTCCTCCGCTGGAGTGTCGGTGCCAAACTCCTGAGCAGCGTCGAAGAGGATACCTCACCAGAGGACAGCATCGACGCCCAGGGGCACCCAAGCCCCTCTTCCACCATCAGCGACACCGACACTCAACACCCTCGCCCGCAGATCACGCTTCGCAGACCAACAGGCGAGCGTGTCCGACCAGAACGCAAGCGATCCGGCCCTCCAGCCTGGGCACGCAGCTTCCCCAACTCGCCCGATGCCAGCATGACCAACAGCCGTGCACGTGGCGGCGATGACTCCGACTCGGATGTCGAGGACGAGCCCCTGGAGCCATACGAAGAGGAAGGTCAGATCACGCTGCCCGGCGCCAGCAACAGCCGTGAGAATCGTTCCTGCTGGAAGAGGTTCTCTACGGCGACGCGCAAGTGGTTCCACAATCTCGTGCTACGTCCACTATACGCCATCGGTGGCTTCATGACTGCTCCGCTGTATGCGGCTGTCATTTCGCTCGTCGTCGCTGTTATCCCGCCTTTGCAAAAGTTCATCGATTCATTGGAGCCCGTCGTGGGTGCGCTCGAGACGGCAGGTGCCTGCAGTATCCCACTCACCATGGTGGTGCTCGGCGCCTATTTCGTGGCTGATGCCTCTGCGGTTCAGCAGGCTCAGGGCTCCATTCCCAAAGCGGTACCGCCCAGTGCCCCAGCCGGAGATGGATCGATGTCCGCCACGGGTCCACAACCCACCGCTCCCAGCTCGAGCAGCAAATCCTTCAATGGCAACGCCGCAGGCAGCGATTCCGATGATCCTTGGAGGAGAACGTCGCTCGAGTCTGCAAGTGCGTCTGGCGAGTCGACTCTGGTTCAAGCCAAAGACTCGAAGCGCAAAGGCTTGAGCTCGTGGAATCCCTGGAACAGCGGATCTTCCAGCGGCGGTTCTGACATTGAAGAGGGAGGAGGACGATACACTGAGGAACCGTCGTCGTACGCTCAAGCCGCTGCTCCGTCCTCCACACCGATCTCACGACGAGTAGCCGGCGACGACGAAGCTGCACGCAATGCCGACCTCAACAGCCGCAACTCAGCCGGTCGCTTCCAGAACGCGCTCAACAAACAAGCATCCGACTCTACGATGGAACGTCGCACCATCGCGGTGGCGATCTCATCACGCATGATCCTGACACCGTTGATCCTGCTACCGTTCGTAGCGTGGTACGCCATGGCGACGGCTAGCAACGTGATGGACGACCCAGTATTTGTGGCGTGCGCCTGCCTCATCATCGGTTCGCCGCCTGCGTTGACGTTGGCGCAGATCACGAGTCAGTCGGCGCAGGGCAATCCGAGCTTCGAAAGGTTGATTTCCAGGACGATCTTCACGGCGTATACGTTTTTGGCTGCGCCGACGACGATCTTGTTGGTGCTGACGGCGTTGGTGATCACCGAGAACGATAAGAACAAGGGGTAGAGAGGTGCGGCGGTTGGATGAGTTGTTGGAGCAATGCAGTTTCTTTTACTTCTTCGCAGGTTGCGTCTCCGTTGGTCGAGTGAAATGCTGATTTGGCGGGTGAACAAGGTGTGGAAGTTGGGTCGGAGTTTTGTGGTTGTGTCGTGTGGGAGCGGTCTGGAGGTTTTACATCATGTGTGGAAATTGTCAAGAAGGTGAGATTGGTATGATTACAGGGGTTGATGAGAGAGAGAGAGACAATTATGCCTGGGAGGCGGGCTTGAAGTCGCCATTGTCGGAGCTCTTTCCGGCGACGTCTTCGATCTTGAGTTCGCCCGAGATGATCTGTTCGAGCATCTTCTTGGGGATGGTCCAGTCCTTGAACATGTGGTGGGGGATGTTGTTGGTACGGCAGTAGGTGGCGAGGTCGTTGTCCTGCTTGTCCTTGACGAAGAGCACGTCGGCGTGACGTGCGGCCGACATGTCCGAGATACCGTCACCGGCAAAGAAGAGCGTAGGGCGGTTCTTGAGCTCTCGGTAAGGGGCGATGGAGAGCGATTTGTCGTGACCAAAGTGGTTGTCCGGGTGACGGTAGACGAGCTCCCAGGTGTTGCCCTTTTGCTCGGGGTCGGTGAACTTGACTTCGTTGGAGATGACGTCGATCTCGTTGGCGTCCTTCTCGCCGATGAGGTTGGAGAGGATGGAGCGGATGATGGGGGTCATACCGGAGGAGACGATGATGACGGGGATGTTGTTGGCCTTGGCAAAGGCGTAGAACTCCTTGAAACCGGGGTCGAGGGTGACATCGCGACGAACGAGCTCCTCCATCTCGGAGAAGGGGCGGTGGACGGACTCGATCATCTGCTTGAAGCCTTCGCGGTAGCTGACTCGCTCCTCGACGATCTCGACGTTGATCTTTCGACGCTCGGTGTAACCCATACCGACGGTGTCGACCATGTGGTCGTTCGAGTCCTGTGAAGTTGCATTTTCGGTTGATGAGAGATGGAGATCGTCAGCAATGCTGTCCTTTGTGCTTTCTAGGCGAGGCTCAAGCGACAGAGTGTACTTACGAGGAGAGTGATGGTACCATCGAAATCGGTGAGGAAGACGTACTTAGCGTCAGCGTACTTGAGGTGCGACATGATTGCTATTCTATGTGGATTTCCTTCGATGGACACTGAGGAAAAGGGAAAAGAGATGGTGTTGGTCGGAATGATGAAAGCCAGTTCGGAATGGCCGAGCAGACTGATATACGGTCGACGATGCCCAGCCAGCCAGCAAAGCGGTCGGCTCGACAGCTTTTGAGAAGATCTGTGTGTGAAATTCTAGCGATCTGTGACTTGGGCCCACCTTGCATCGACGCTGCGATCTGCAACGTGTGTGATGTCTTGCTTGGCTGTCCACCTGCCTCGCTCTCTGGATCGGCCAGATGGTGCGTGCGTGCAGCCTGGAAATCTCCCTTTGAAATATTTTTTTTTTTTTGATGCAGTTTGCCTCTCTTTATGTAGAGGTGTGTGGTTGTGTGTTTGCGAAAGGATGCACGAGGTGCGCAATGGTGCCTGCGATTTCAACATTCTCCGACAGCGCATGTTCGGTTGGCGGGTATCGACTGCATCTCTCTTCATCAATGGCCGTCGCAACAAGGCCGATCGATAAACTGTCGACGAAAAGCATCGGCTGTACCGCATGGTGTGCACTAGATCGGTCGCAGGTGCATTCGTTCAAAACAGTCTTCTCGGATCTTGATGGTTCAGGGTCGTCTTTCGCTTGAGTCGGAAACGTGGCCTTGGAGCGCCCCTTGCTGCGAAGCGACAGCCCATGTTCATCGGTTGAATTCGTCTTCATCTCGGCACATCACTCCTTCAAGTCTCTTGTACTCCTGCAAGATCCCAATTCGGAGCCAAGCCATGGATTCGAACGATTCGCAGACGAACCAAAGACCGTTCTGAGCGTTGAGGAACGAGCGGAGCGCAGCGATGTGGGAGAATCTCGAAACCACGTCATTCTGCAGTTGGAACAATATCCCATGGTTTCGCGCTTTCAGCCTTGTCTGATCGATTAATTATGAATGAAAATTGATTCGGCTTGCTCCCGATCGATTTACCGTATCAAGCACAAGAATCGGACATCCTGCCGATCACTCCAGCTCAACCGCACATCAAGGCTCTCAGCTCACGCTCTTCAGCCGCAATCGTGAGCAGTCAAGGTGTGCAAGAGGCAAATGGAAGGTAGTATTACATTGACTGCTCGCGAGGTTACGAGCGTTCTGATGATCCGAAAGCTCGTCTGATCATTGGGAGTCAGAACAGGCTGTTTTTTGAGACGCAGTCCTCTAGCTGGTCGATCGGGCAATCGCAATTTACCCCTGCATGGGCACGGGTGCCTCTCCACCATCGAGATCTTGCGCAGAAGCTTCAGCGATGGTGGCATCTCCGTCGTTTCCGCCGTTGACGCTTCCACCGCCCGTGCGGAAGTTGGTCCATCGACGGTTGAACTCAATGTCCAGCGGCCTTCCTCCGTAGACGTACTGGTTGAACTTGGCGATCGCCGTCTCGGCATCTTCGACCGTGGCGAACTGTACGACTCCGGAGCCCTTGCTTCGACCGCCGCCCTCCATCAGGATCTCGGCCTCGTCCACTTTGCCAGTCGTCTGGAAGAGCTCAACCAGATCCTCGTTCGACGTCGACCAAGGCAAGTTCTTGACAAAGATCTGCTGCGACGGAGGTGCCGGAGCAGCTGCAGCACGAGCTGCGCCAGGGGCAGCAGGTCGTCCGCCGTATGCTGCCGCACCTCCGTAGCGGTCGCCGTATCCTCCACCGTATCCGCCTCCGTAACCACCGGCGTAGGGGTCGTGTCCATAGCCGCCGCCGTACGGGTCACCGTAGCCGCCACCGTATCCGCCTCGGCCACCGTAGCCGCCTCGACCACCGAATGCGCCGGCAAAGCCGCCACGACCACCACGAGGAGGAGCACCGTATCCGCCTCGTCCGTAAGCATCCATCGGAGGAGCGCCGGCAAACTTGTCCAGCCTCACCTCAAGCATGCGTCCGCGGAAGTCGTAGCCGTGGTACATGGCGATGGCGTTGGAAGCATCGTTCGAGTTGGCGAATGCAACGATGCCGGTTCCCTTGGAGCGTCCGTCGGGACCCATGTTGACGTCGGCACGAGTGACGTTGCCTGCCGATCGGAAGAGATCCTTGAGATCTTGCCAGCTGACATCATATGGCAGATTGGTGATGAACAGCTGAGTGGGTGCGCCAGCACCGAAGCCACCATAGGCGGGAGGAGGAGGTCCGCCGAAGAAGCCGCCTCGGCCGGGAGGTCCGAAGCCTCCGCGACCTCCAGGAGCGCCAAAGCCACCGCGCATACCACCACGAGGAGGTGCGCCAGAAGCGCCGCCGTATCGTACCTCGTCCTCACGGTCCTGTTATGTCGAAGATTCGGGGAGATGGATCAGTTGTCGCTCTCATCGTCCATCAGGGCACACGTAGCCGAGCGGAACACGTACCTCTCGAACAAAGACCTGACGACCTTCGAGCTGCTTGTTGGTCATATCGCTGATGGCTTTTTGCGCCTCCTCGGGTGTGCTGTACTCGACGATACTGTTCTCGGAATTAAAGCAAAGCAGAGGATGGGTTGGGTCAGTACCCTACTGCACCTGAATCCGTGATCTTGTTAGGACATCGAGACTTACCCGCAACCCTTCGAGCTTCCGTTTGGCAGAGTGAGCACCTCGGAAAAGACGACATTGCCAGCTGTAGATGCGGTGGATGTTCGTCGATGGTCGAATGAGGTAGCGTGTCGATGGTTGAATGGCAACGCAAATACGTTTTGTACGTTGTAGGATGTAGAAAGCCCCCAATTAACCCGACCAAAATCAAAAGCATAAAACCTTCCCATCAGCAATCCATCCGCGTCACCGTCCACTACCTAATGACCAGTTCGCTCCACTGGAATGTCTATACGCGCATAGCGTAGGCGCCCCGAATGTCGTCTAGCAAGACATCGATGACCGCCTGAACCTCACGGTAATTCAAAATAGCATGTCGAGACACCACAACCTGATTACCCACCCTCCCTCATGAAGTCCTTGAGCGTGTTCCACTTGACGCCGTAGCTAAGGTTTCCAACGTAGACCCTGCAGTTCTTGTTACTCTTCCTGGCGGCTTGCACAGCAGCGTGCTGAGATGCCGCGGCACGATCGTTAAAGCTGCGAGGAGGACGGTCGTTGCGATCGGAGCGGTCGCGGTCCCTGCGGTCGGATGATGGTGCGTCGCCAGCGACAGGCGAGCGCGAGCGGGCGCGGTCTTGGGACATGGCGTCGCGGTCAAAGTTGTCGACATAGGGCGAGTTGTCCTCGTTGCGATCCACTGAAGCGGACGTGTGTGTGGGAGGACAAGCAAGGTCAGTACGGAACGCCCAACGAGAAACAGTGGTGACAATTACAGCGACAGACGGGCTTACCTTCGGACATGGTGAGGAATGTTATGAGAGATTGAATGCGATGGCTGCGAGGAGATCGTGGATGCGAGATTCCTAGTTGCAATAGTCGATGCAGAAGCGGAAGTGATGATGGCCAGGTATGAAGCGGGAAGAATCGACGACCGCAAAGGTTAAGCCGCGCAGCTCGGCTCCGGTTTCGACATTGACGCGGCGTAACAATCATACAGCAAAAGCGCA